AAGTGCAATTGCCATTAACTAAGCTCTACAAGAAGACTGTGGGAAGAGAAGCAAGTCTATGGGGGAAGGAAAGTTCAGCTTTGGGTGTATTAAGTTTGAGGTGACTATTAAACATCCAAGTGAAGATGTCAAGTTGTCAGTTGGATATCTGAGTCTAGAATTCACAAGCAAGATCCAGGCTAAAAATAAATTTAGAAATTGTTTGTGTATAGATGGCATTAGCGTTCAGGGACTAGGAGAGATCTCTTAGAGTCTACACTCTCTGTCTACACATACACAGAGGCCAGTGGGTCTGTGTATAGACCCGTAGAGGCAGAGAAGGCAAAAAGGGCTCAGCAAGGGCACCTGCGTGGCTCAGTCGTTAAGCGTCTGCCTTCGGCTCAGGTCATGGTCCCAGGGTCCTGGGATCGAGCCCCACATCGGGCTCCCTGCTCGGCCGGAAGCCTGCTTCTCCCTCTCCCACTCCCCCTGCTTGTGTTCCCTCTCTTGCTGTCTCTCTCTCTGTCAAATAAATAAATAAAATCTTAAAAAAAAAAGGGGGGGCTCAGCAAGGGAGACCTGTCGGTAGAAGGAAAGACAACCAAGACACTATAGTGGCTTGGAAGCCAAGTGCAGCAAGGGTTCAACAAGGAGAGGGAAGTTTGTGATTTGCTTTCAAATAATTGTGTGTGTGTGTGTGTGTGTGTGTAGGAAGATGGGGGACTGGTTGGTATATAAACAAACAGGAACTACCACAAACTGATCACTGCTAAATGTGGGTAGATGGGAGGTCACTGTACCATCTTCCTTACTTTTATATATGTTTGACATTTCCCATTAAAAAGAGTAAAAAAAAGAGAGCAAAAACCAGGGAGTGAGAAGCTGTCAAATGCTGATAGTGCTGAGAGGTCAATTAGGAGAGTGGATTTGACCCTGCAGAGGGCACTGGTGGTGGTGACAGGAGCATTCTCAGTAGAGGTAGAGCCTGTTGGCATAGGGTTCAAAAGAGAATACAAGGAGGGGCGCCTGGGTGGTTCAGTTGGTTAAGCGTCCAACTTTTGATTTCGGCTCAGGTCATGATCTCAGGGTCATGAGATCGAGCCCGGTGTTGGGCTCTGTGTTGAGTGTGCAGCCTGCTTAATACTCTCTCTTTCCCTCTCCCTCTGCCCCTCCCTTGCCCCGACTTGCACGCTTTCTCTCTCTCTCTCTCAAAAAAAGAAAAGAGAGAAAATACAAGGAAAGCATAGGGAGTGAGCAAGTGCAATCACCTCCTTCTAGGAATTTTGCAGGACAGAGGAACAGAGAAAGGGGTAGCTGGAAGGGGGCCAAGGGTGGTTGGTTGGTTTGTTAGTTTAAGTCAGAGCGATTCCAGCCATATTTCCTAGCCCCGGTCTTTCACACAAGCTTTAGACAAACCGCCCCGAAGCACCCTTCCCCACGTTCTGTCCGCACCTCCCGACCGCATTCACCCTGCCCGTCCACGAAGGTCGGGAACACATCCCACCTCCTGCATCACCCCAATCGTGTGTGATGTCTCCAGGCATATCAGTTTCTACCTACAGGCGGAATTGTCAAGAAATTTTTTACAGGGGAGGTTCGGTTGTCCTGCCGCTCAGCGAGGCTCTCTGCAGCCCTCACGGTCAATGTGTGTCCGAGCACACAGTGTGTTTATACCGGAGATCAAAACTACACAATGTTCCCCTGACGGCTTTCAGAAGGACAGCAGAACTTCTACAGAAACTATAAAGTTTCTTATTCCTTTAGATCCTGGAAGACAGCATTCGATAGTAGCAACAAGAAAAATACCTTTCACTTGCCTTTCCTGCTCTAAAAGACATGGCTAGAAGCACCAATTTACCCTCAGGGATCACGGACCGGTATTTATTTTTAAAACTAACTGAAAAGCCTCAGCAGTTACTGGAAGACTTCTCTTTGAAAACATCAGAAGTTGGGCGGGGAGTAGGTGGGTAGGGAGAAGGAGCCTCCTCGTTGAAGATGTGGCAGGCTCAGTGAAACTGCACCAAAAAATAAGATGTGATTAAGGACACGACTTCCCTCACACCTCCCTCAGAGTGCATCACGGCCAGGAGGCCAGGGCGCTTTCTTAGGATTCCTGCTGCTGCGAAGTTTCCTCAGAAGCACTCACTTTCCGTGCAAAAGGCAAGAACAGACAAGGCATTTCTGCTCAGGATTAAATACAAGATGCATCCTAGATGGCCTCTAAAGAAATTCTGAAGAAATGAGATGTTATCAGAGCCTCTATTATGACGAGAAGGCTAGAGTGACAAAAGAATCACGCTCATATATGGCTTAGCTGAGCGAGACAACGGCAAACACGTCTTGACGAAGTCTCGAGAGCAAGTACAACAGGGCATTTGCAACTCCTGCCCTAATCACCACTGAGGACCCGGGCTGCTATGCACCCTGGGGTATGGGCCGAGACCCTCGTCTGGACAGGAGCCCGGCAGAGGCTATCGCGATACAGTATGAGATCTAAGAGGCTACGTGCGGCAGGAAAGCCCCGCCCCCCCGCCCCGCCCCCGACCCAGAGATGAAGGCAGCCTGGAGCTTCTGGCAAAAGCAGCAGCAGCACCAGGAGTGAAGGTTCCTGGGCTTAGAGAACATGGGAGTTCTGGGAACAGCAAGGAGGCTCACAGCTGGCACGATCCACATCTGATTACAGGCTGCGGCCAGATGGCGGATGGCCCCTGATGTCACGGGCCAGGGAGCTCTTCCTGGGGACCAACCGCAGGAACAGGTTTGCAGTCCGGAGAGGCCATTCTGGCGGCAGCGTTCTGAAGGAAAAAGGGACTGTGCGCCAACTTCAAAGTTGTGAACATTGGTGACTCTGGGGGTTTCAACTGTTGTCCAAGTCAAATGCTGTTTTTCTGTGTCGTATCTGGCTATGCTTATTTTTGTACCGTACACCGCTGAGGGTTTCATTCTGTCTGGGTGTTTTAAAACATTCACACAATTCATTTTTCATCTGTTACACCTTATATCTCAAGGGCACAATATAATCAACAATTTCGAGGTGTACTCTGGTCACCTCTGCCCATGAAAATGACCTTTGGCTACAGAACCAGGGGCTGCTGCTTCCCTGGGGCTTTGCTTGCCCCTCCCCCCACTTATGAGCGCCTGGAATTTCACCTGTGCCATGATTCCCAGCACTGGACCACGAAATACTTTTCACCAGTTTGAGCTGAAATGCAGAAGCAAAGGGACATGCGCTTTCTTCTAAATTAGGTCCTACTTCCTTTTTGGGGGTTAAGATTCCCTTTGTTTTGGGGCGCCTGGGTGGTCAGTGGGTTAAGCGTCTGCTTTCGGCTCAGGTCATGATCCCAGGATCCTGGGCTGAGTCCCGCATCGGGCTCCCGGCTCAGCGGGGAGTCTGCTTCTTCCTCTCCCTCTACCCCTCCCTCCCACTTGTGCGTGTGTGCTCGCTCTCTCAAATAAATAAAATCTTTTAAAAAAGAGATTCTCTTTATGAAATAATGACAACCTAATATTTCATAAAGCCCTTCCATGGCAAAATAGCTGGCAACCCCAGATGCTTGCACTCATTTTTGGAAATGTAAAGTCTTCTTAGAAGCCTGGAAGGCCCCTGCTCTGAGGGCCCTCCACCACCACCCTGTTCATCTTGCACAGTGGTCACCTGATATCAGAGTCCGGGAGGAGGAGGGACACTTCTGGGTTAACCAAGGCTGACACCAACCTGCCAAAGCATCAGAGTTGACAGTTAACTATGCGACAATCAGAAAAATGTTGGCCCAGTGTGTAATTTAATCACATTTCTTCCTAATTATGTCTTTGGAATTTAGCATCTTAATGAGAATATTAAACTTTCCATGGCCTCTGTGTCACTCACATTTAAATATTGTTAAATAAGTGGTTAAATAAGTCCCTAAAAATATATTTACTTTGCTGATCCCAACTTCATCTCCCTGTTTTGGAGAGGGGTGCTTGAAACTCTGGTAGCACCAAAGAAACAAATAGTTTGGGACCCCTGGCACCCAAGAAGCCCCCATGCTGGGACTGCAACATAACCTTTAGGAGTACTGAAAAATAAATTAGGCGTTGGGAGTCAGAAAGACCTATGTTTGGGTCTCAGCTCACAACTTACGAGCTACGTCACCTTGGGTTTTTATCTCTCCGAGTCTCAGGTTCCTCAACTACAAAATGAGGTCAATAACGGTACCTACCCGCACAGGGTGGTTGTGTTTAGGACAGTTTTGGTGCTTGGTAAATATTCAGTAATGGTAATATTGCCTTCATTGTGAATATGGGCTATTTACAAAGCACGAGCCTTCAAAAGAATCATGTTAGACTGAAATGGCTCTTTTTGATCATCTGGCTCGATCTCAGCATTTTATAGATGGAGATGGGCGTAGAGGGTGAGATCTAGAGAGAACACAGAACCAAGGAGAGGCAGACCCTAGACTTGGTTTCTGGGGTTAGCCCAGGGTTTTCTCCACCACATTAGTCTTCCCCATCTGCAAGTATCTGGTTCTTGACTTTCAAGATCTTTTGGCTAGAAGGGACCATGCACATAGTTCCAAATGGTATCATTTAAAAATTAAAAATGGCAAATTCCATACTATAAAAAAATGCAGATAAACAAAAAAACTGACAGAGGTCATTACTTCATTATTTCAGAATATTTACTGCGGAAAGAATTAAATATGTTAAAAATAATGTAACAGACTACTCATGTAATAGAGTACTAAGATGAGGTGGATGAACAGAAATACTGTATCATTTAAAGATGTGCTTTGTGCTTCCCCCCACTCCCCTACACTCCAAAAAGAAAAGGTGCAAACTACACCTCCCATGTCAATCCAACTTGATTTCTCAGGAAGAAAAACAGAGGATTTTCCAAGTCTTGATGCTAATTCTAGAATGCAACAAAACCAGATGGATTACGATGGGGTATGGCTGACAAGCAAGATAATGCCAGCAACAGAAAGGAACAGAAAATCATTAAAGAAAGGGACACAAAACAAAGCAGATACACTTTCTGTTATTTTAAATCAGTAGTTTTATTACAATACACACTGACACACAGAGAAGGAATGTCCTGACATTTTCTGAGCATTTCACGGAAAGCAAATGTAACCATCCAGGCAGTCGAGTCATCCACATCTTTTCCAAATTCAAAGCAAAAGCTTTTATATTTGATAACTCAGGAAAGCAAAGTTTTCTTATTCTTGTCTACGAAACTTCAGTGTCAGAAAAGAGTTACTGTGAAGTGGGCTGAGAAGGAAGGGTTTCTTTCCTTCTTGCTGTCCCAGTTCCTGCCTCTCGAGTTTCCCCCTTGACTTTCTAGATGACTTTTTACGATACTGCAGATGATAGTGTGTTCAGGGGCCAAATGGGATCTACTTATTAGGCCGGCTATTCTACTCCACTATAATTAAAAGGAAAGAACAAATTAAGAAAATTAAGTCCTGGAAAATGCACAAAGGCAAGGAAAAAATATCCGGGTGTATTAAAAATGAGATGCTCTTTTCACATAACTCATTTCAAAGGTTACAATTACCATAAACATTTAACTCCATTAAAGATCATTGGCAAAAACTAGCTCTTATACCTGCAAAAGGGCTCTGCATTTATACAGGCTCGGAAGAAAGCAACATACCACGTGAAATGAGTCACTAATCCTGGTGAAGCAGGCATCAGACTATTTGGAGTTGCATAGGTGTTTTTTCAGATCCATTTTGTACAAGACACTATGGAACCTTGACAAATTTCCACCTTTCAGCAGTCACTGTGGCAGTCAGGTGTTTTACTCCCTTTAGTGCCCAAACACACAAAAGCACTCCAGGAATGAAATACTAAACTGACATTCTGGGTACATTCACTACATGTTACATAACTTGGAAAGAACAAAGGAAAAAGCCCAAGCATGACTCTAGTATTTCATATAGAAAAGCACTGCAGGAGAAAACTCTGTTTAAAAACATTAAAACTCAGGTGAATATAAATACATTTTTGGTTAATCTGTGCTATAGCATATAGAAATCCTGTCAGATATTCAGTCTGCTGGGTAACTCTGCATTTTTCATGTCTGATTGTATTAGTAGAATATACACTGATGCATATACTGACATATATATGCATATACATATATAAAATTCAGATCATGAAATTTTGTTTTAAATACACATACTTAAAACCTCTACCTCTAAAAATAAATACATTAGCCCCTAATAGGCTAATTCTCAGAGTTCCTTCACAAACCAATCAGAATACAGCTTCTCAACAATGGCAGATGACCAATCAGCTGCTCTTTAAATCCATTATCTATCAGTAAATGTTTTAAAATTCAGATGTATAACAGAAATAGCATCCCCAGCACAGAACACAGATAGAATTCTGGCTTTGAAAATAAATGTCTTGGCTTCCTTGATGTTTAGTTCTACTCTTTGCCTCTGCATTTATCTAGCAGTGGGAGAGCATTTTCTAGTGACAGCATTCTACTCCATTGGCACTACCTTCTAATCAAAGGAGTCGGCTGGCATTTCCTTTGCCGTTTTGTTCAAGGGAACTAATACGACAGTTTGTATTTGATATCACTCCCATAATCACAGTGAGTTGTGTGTTTTAATGTAATTTACAACGTGCCAATACCACTGAGGTAAAGCAGAAGTAGCCCTGGCGTTTTTAAAGGGGAAAAAAAAAAAGAGTCTCCCAGGAGAACAACACATAAAAGGGACCTGGTGGTGTATATCTAGGTTCTACGAAGTAACTCAAAACTACTGCCAGAATGGACACATTGGATATCTGATATTTTCGTTCAAAGAAGAGAAACATGAAAACACTCAATATACTTCCTTTAGAAAGGATACAATTCACAAAAACGGGGCTTTACTTTTTTACTTTTACATCTCAAAAAAAAAAAAAAAACTTCTTAAAATGATATAAGCCAGACCAAGTTGTTTAATACAGTACAATACTTAACAACCTTGTCATTTGTTTTTGAATACAAGAAACTCAGAATGTAGGAAATCCATGATAAATGATAGCAAGAATGTTTAATGCCATTGCCTAGATTTTTTTTAAAGGAGAATTTACCATAGTTGAAATACAACTTCTAAAAAATAGTTTTATGCGCTCACAGTTCCAGATTACTAACTTTATAAATTAAAGGTGAAAGTTATCCATATACAAACAAGGCCTCTTTTTCATTGATTTCAATCTCAATTAAACCTTTGGATATTTCAATCTTCAAATTCACAAGGTAAGGCTGAGTTTATCAGATATAAATAAAATGTCTAAAGTCCACGATGTATTGTAGCACTAAAGAAACAAATGCATCAAATATTTACAGGCTGGCTACAATACTTAAAAAAAAAAAATTCAAATGTGTATCAACATCAAGCCACACTCTTTTTCCAATTTCTCTGGCTGCAAAAATGGGGCAACAGCATTTTTTCTCACTCATTTTTCCTCTCAATCCTTAAGTCAGAGGCAGGTCTTAGGTCAAAGGGCGAGGTCTTTTGGGAGGTGGTGGAGGCATGAGCTCTGTGTCAGGGTCCAGATGATGCTTTCGCTTCTGTCCTTGAGAAGCTGCCACACATCTGTCGATGAACTCAAACAGCATCTCCTTGGTGACAGGGTTGGAGATGCTGTTGCACACAGCTGTGGACAAAGGGAGACACGTGTCTCACGTGAGGGTTAATTAAGGCAGCTGACTCACCACAGGGCGATGCGAAAGGGGAAAGGTTTTCATCCCAATATGCTAAACACTTCCAGTTCACCAACTGGGGTGACACGCTTCCCACAGTAAACGATTCTCCGCCCTCCCCTGCCCCCAAAATGAGTGCTTTTCTGGTGGCTACTCTTTCTTGTACCGTTAATTTTAAACCAAAACTTTAAGTGTTGTTATTACAACCACACCTTCACTATGGTTTTCCACCTCTCCAAAACTCTTTTTATAGGATTTTAATGTTCCACAACTATAGTCTATACTCAACCAAAACTACTCCAGAAAACGTGTGCTATCATCCTTCAGTCGCATCTGTCAGAAGGAAACTCCACCCTGTCATGACAACACCAGCCACTGTTTCCACTGAACAGGGAGGTGCCATTGTAGCTGGCAGATCATACTATTTTATTTTAATAACCTGTTTAAGTAAGGTATTATAATAAAATTATGAATAAATATGGCACCTTTTCTTATTTGATCAAAATTGACAACCAGTCCTTTGAATTGTATTTATATATTTAGTTTGGGGGGGAAAAAGGACACTGGCTTAATTATTCCTATTTTCAAAGTTAACCCATCTTGTCTGAACACAGATGCTAGTTCCAACAGAACCTTAAATGTACAACAGTAACTTTCATAAACTGCAAAACCGAAACTGGCAATCTCTGTAGTTTCTCATAAGCTTATCATATAATCAGCATCATCACTGACAGCAGTCTAAAAGCACACGATTCTATTAACCTTTAATCTTGGTTTTTATCTGTTTTTTTTTCTCAGCTTCACTAAAAATGCAATCCAGAGCAACTAGTTTACCTTATAAAATTAATTAGTGTTGTTCTCCATGAAGAAACTTACTATTCTGAATTCCCAAAGCATTTATATTATACCCAAAGAACTCTCTGAAGGATAGCATAGCAGGTTTCAGGAGGGTTTTTTTTGTTTTGTTTTGTTTTTTTAATGGTTTTCATTTACTTTGTTCTCCATTGTTTGTAAAGCTATTTTAGGAGCTGGAAATTACATTTTTCCCCTGCTAATTTTGTCTTTTACCATCTGGCAAACAATGGTTTTTATAGTTCTGAATAGATCTGAAATTATCATGGCTTTTGTTGTTGTTGTTGTTGTTCAACAAATTCAACTTGTATACAGCCCATTATCCTGCCCTTTACACTTCTCTTTTGGGTGCATGGGCACAAGCCCACAGGCCTAGAGACGGGAATCTACAAGCCAGCTGGAGTTGACAGTCACAGCCCCTTTCCCAGCCAGCAAGGACAGGGGTCCGAATGACCCTATGCCCCATCAAGCAGGACACCAAAGACAGCACATTTTGATTCTAAAACCTTAACGTGCACTCGCTCTCTCTTTTAATGTAACAAACATTGGTAGGTTGTCATACTCACCCATGGCAGTGTTGTATGCATTAGGAAAACTTTTGTCTGTTCTCTGTCTCATGAAGACCCAGCTGTTATTCTCAAATTTGCATTCTATAATTTTGTTGTCATACTGTTTTAGCTCCTTTGTCACCTGTTTTAAAAGAGAATTGAAGAAAATATTTAAATCATTTGAAAGGCTTTTTGCTTCCACTATGTGACAGACACATTAGGGAATGCCAAAAACACCTCAGTAACTCTTCACACAGAGCCTTTTGTCATCTGAAGTGTCTCATCAAGCCTAAGGATATGGTGTGCACTCCCTTGTACACATGCTCATTAATCCGACATTTTATAAACAGTCGTGAAAACAGCTGTCAATATATAGCAATTAAAAGAGGCTAAGCAGAAACCAGCCACTTCTGGGCCAAATGCAAATAGGTTACCATAGGGACCAATGCCTTCAATATTTCTGCGTCCCTATGGCTTTCAGAAATTGAGGATGCTGCTTAGGTTCGTCAGCTTTCAGAAGGGTCTCCCTGTCTAAATTCCTATGTCAAAACCTAAGAAGTTCCCTTTACTAGTTGAAAGAAAAAGTTACACACAAAAAGTAAACATTAGGATCAGATTCAGGTAATGCACATCCTAAGTATTTCACTTTTCAAGAAGTAACAACTAATCCAAATTCTAATCTTTAGGTTAGTTACCCTTTCCATCTCCAAACTACTATGAACATACAGATGAAGCTACTTTAGATTTTAGTTTGGTTGGTTTTTTTGGCTACTTCACCTCAGATGATTGAATATGAATTACAACTTACTCTATCAAAGCTAATGAGTATCCATGGTAACCATAAAACCTTTTAAAAGATATTTCATCAGGCTGTGAGGATAGTTTTCATAAATAGGAACCTAAGCTTATCTTTGCAGTTTTCAAATCAAATGCCAGTCATGGTAATATTTTAATTCTGTCCTCATCTTTCACAGCTAACAACTTTTCCTCACAATATGGTAGATTGCAATCATTTAAACTTCATTAGTGTTATTTGAAATGCTCTCATTTTTCTACCCACAGATTCAATACCACCTAGGAATATGAAGGGAAGCAAATTTTTAAAAGATGCTTTCAATTCACAGATTAGGCAGTGCACATCTTCATAAAAACTATCAAATTATATTCCTTTTCCCTTAATGAGTATTGCACTTGATTGGATTATTTGCATTTTCAACAAATCCAACACGACCAATACATTCAGTGGCTCTGGAACAGACATGCCCAAAAAACTGATGTTCCACTTAGTAAACTTGTTAGAATTATTCTCAAATATTCATTATTCTAATCTCAATTCCCCTCCCTTTCTTCCGAAAGATCCACCTCCTTTTACTTTTGATACATTATCTATAGCCAAGTATTAGGCAACTCATTCAACTAGGTAACCACATTTATCACATGTAGGGTCTAACAGAGCTGAGGTTCTAAACCTTTCAGAGTCTCCATTTTATAATTCTAAAATGGGCAAAGGAGTTCCCAATTTACTGGGACACTGGAAGAATAATAAATGAAAGTACCTGGCACAGAGTGGCCAACCAGTAAAATTCTTAATTAAATATAAAATTAGGAAATAACATACTGCTTTCAAAAACAAAAAACACTTTATAAGTAAATTCACTAAAGAAACCAGGATGACATGGAAAGGTATGCTTTGAAAACAGGTGTCAAGAAAATTATATCATGTGTACTACACAAGACAGGCTCGTATCAACAATATGCAGTTGGCACTTTTACTGACCAGCAATTGTACTAAGTCTTTATCATATAGCTCATCATTCCTGTGTTCCTGGTTTCAGAATTGCTATAAGTTATGTGCTGCTCGATCTGACTACAGCAATTAAGCAGCATTATTATCTGTGTATCTATTTGGGCATGCATTAACAGTAACTGGGAAACAGCTTTCTGAAAAATGCATGCATGCACTTGCCACTATACTAACTGAAATGTACGTCCATGTTCAAGAACAATTCATTGTTCTTTATTGATCACATCAGTTATATTCCCAAGGTAGATACACTGCAAGGCACTCATTTGGTTCGGCAATAAAATATACTTAACTGACAGAAATAATACTTCTCATATGTGCACAAACTAAAGACAGTTGTCACTAATGATCAGATCAAGAGAATGAGGAAAACTCATTCTACAAGGGAGGGGTTTAATTTTAGTAACCAAATTCTAATAACAATAACCATCCTCAGCCAATTATGTATTATTATTTACTAAAACAAGACCCTGTTAGGCCTTCTATAATCAACTCTGTTACTCTAGTTTGAGCTAATAAGAGCTTGAAAGTAATAATATTTATACATCAGGATTTCATATCTCTACTAATAATTATATTGAATTAATGAATTTTACTGTTTTTTTTTAAAAAGAGCAATCAATATACAATGTATTTTATATTGAAAAATATTTTGTTCATGTATCCATCTTGTTCAGTACCACACTCTTTATATTGTTTGAATCTACCAATAAAATGAGGTTAAGAGACAGTCCAATGAAACTGGATCTAGTATCTCTGGAGGTTTTTTTTTTTTTTTTTTTTAAGAGAGGGAGAGACAGAGACAAAGAGAAGGGAGTGTGGAGGTGCAGAGGGAGATAGAGAATCTTAAGCAGGCTCCACGCCCATCACAGAGCCTGATACGGGGCTCTATCTCACAACCCTGAGATCATGCCCTGAGCTGAAATCAACTGCGCCACCCAGGTGCCCCTAATGTCTTTGGAGATTTTAAATTAGCAGCTCAACAATAATACCTGCAACAAAGAGCCCACAGTAGAGTCAGGTACAATCACAGGTGCTGCACTCTGCACTATTCTTACAGAATACTTTCTGTAACTTAAGTGCTAGGCAAATACCTACACTTCCAAGTCACAAAAGGCAAACCATCAGTGTTGGGGGAACTGACCTATACCGAGCAAAGTTGCATTTCTATTTCTAGGAGTGGGATAAAACTCTAAAACTTGCTGTCCCTGTTTCGGGAGAGCTGTTTTTGCTATAAAGAGCTCTCATCCTCGGGCGCCTGGGTGGCTCAGTAGGTTAAGTTTCTGACTCTTGCTTTTGGCTCAGGTCTTGATCTCAGGGTCATGAGAGCAAGCCCTGTGTTGGGCTCTGCACTCAGCAGGACATCTGCTTGTCCCTCTCACTCTGCTTCTCCCCACACTTGTACTCTCTCTCTCTTCCATAAATAAATAATAAATAAATAAATAAATAAATAAATAAATAAAATCTTAAAAAAAAAAAAGAGCCCATCTTTTTCTTCTAGAGAGACTGCACAAAGGCTTGAGGGGAGGGGGAGTTCTCTGAATTATTTGCTCTGGAGACACTTTAAAATAACAAATATCCTTAGACTGAGAAAGCCATCAGTGAGTTGTAGTGATTCTATTTTTAACTTTTAATTTTGAAATAATTTTAGATTTACAGAAAAGCTGTGTATAGATGGTATAGAGAGTTCTAGTATTCCTGTCACCCAGCTTCTCCTAATGTTCACATTTTATGTAGTATGGTGCATTTATCAACTAAAAGAAATTCACACTGTTACAACACAATTAACTGAACTAAACAGACTATTCAGACTTCAGTTTTTCCACTAATGTCTTTATCTGTTCCAAGATCCCATCTAGGAAATCACACTGCATTTAGTCATCATATCTCCTTAGTTTCCTCTGATCTGTGACAGTTTCTCAGACCTTCCTTGACACTTTTGAAGAGTACTAGTCAGATATTTGTAGAATGTTCCTCAAGTTGGAATTTTCTGATGTTTTCTCATGATTGGACCAAGGTTTGGATTTGGGGGACAAATGCCAAGAGGTGAAGTGCCTTTCCCGCGTAATATCTGAGGGGGGCGGTGTGATATCATGACTTATTACTGGTGATGCTAACCCTGAGCACTTCGTTAAGATGGTGTGTGCCACGTTTCACTACTGTAAAGTTACTACTGTTCTCCTCTGCATACTCTATCGGTTAGTTACGAGTCACTATGAACAAAGAGCCCCACTCAAGAAGGGAAGTAAACTCCACTTCCTGGAAGGAAGAGTAAAGTTGTGGACATTTATTAACCACCACAGACATTACTAAGTTTCTTGAGAGAGATATTTTGAGACTATACAAATACCCTGTTTCTCCTTAAAGTTTTGCTCATTAATTTTAGCATTCCTCCATGAATCTTGCCTGCAGCAATTATTCCTGTGGTGTCCTGCAGGGGTTTTCTCTTTTCTCCATCCCTTCTACATTTATTATCTGGACTTTTTCTGTAAGGAACACTTATCCCACTTCCCTCATTTATTTATTTGCTTATTTGTATCAGTATGAACTCATGGATATTTATTTTATTCTTTGGTTTATAATAAAATAATACTGTCGTTTATTTTGTTGGTCAAATTGTTCCAGTTCTGGCACTGGGAATTCTCTCAGATTGGCTCCTGTGTCCTTTTAATTTGCTTCCATTTTTACTTACTTACTTACTTACTTACTTATTTTCAGCATTTACTTTCTGGCAATTCAAGAGCCTACTCTCCAGGCTCATCTTTGTATTTTCTCTGCCCCAGCCCTAGAATCAGTCATGACGTCCTCTATCAGCATTTTATAAGAACAACATCCCTCCCCAACAGTCCAGGAGGCTATGCTAAGAAAGTACTGTCACCACCTGTTCAGGTCAGAATTTAAAAGTATTATTGAGGGAAGGAGAAAGAAAGAGAACAACAATGAGACTCTAAAGATGAATATACATTTTACTTAGAAGTTTCCATGCCATCTTTTGTGAACTGCTCTCTGGAGCTAAACTAAGCTGGCCATTTTTTCATTTTGAAGTTAAAATTCTACTCTTTGATAATTCAAGTTCTACCTCTATAGAGTGACAGAAGGTAAATTTTAAAAACATATCTTAAGTAGATGAAACAAAAATCTTATTTTCATGTAAATAACTTCCATTTCTAGTACTTATAAAGGCATAGAAAATAAGATAAGTCCGAAATGAAATGGAATTATAAAAGTTTTCCTGTGGTGTCAGAACAATACAAATAGCTTAAATCTGAATTATTAGATAAATAATCTTTTAGAAATACTACATTATAGTAGGGCCTTGATATATTCCTTTTAGAAAG